CACACACACACACACACACACACACACACACACACACACACTCAAACAACATCTTTAAATGGTTTTATTGACATACGAGAAAGCGCCCTCTGGTCTGCGAACTGATCATCGAGACAAGGCATCGTTGTGCGGCAAATTTGGAACGGGCAATTATAGAGGGAAACATTGGTAAACATTGAAAGTTTACATGTCACGACGCCATGGAATCATGCGCTCGTCAATTTTGGGCATATAGAAATAGTGATTCATCTTACTTAAAGACTGTTCGTTATCTTATTTGTTATGAAAAAGTACCCATCTGTCTTTAAATGAAGTCGAGATATTTGCGAGTGAGGGAGGTGGGGGTTGCATGATATCACAGGCAAAATTAACGAGAAAATTGTCGACAAAGTTTGGAAACTGTAAATTCTTACATTTTTTTGATGCCTTTCATCAACGTTCTGCAGTAAAAATCAACACAGAATTTTTTTTAATAGACGCACATAGTGTTGAGTCAGAAAAGAACTTCAATAAAAACGGCCAAACAGGCGGAAATGTGTCGATTTCTTCGATTTCATTACTTTGACGAAGGCCTGATCCTACCATAATGTCACACACATTATGATCTACTGTCAAACTCAGAATGTTCTAGATCTAGACTATCTTAGGATTTCACAAAATGTTATCTTTCCTTCAACATTTTTGCGAGTCTTAAGGAAAATGCGAGGCATCGTGGTGAAATCAGACGGCCGTCAAAATAATGAAATGGAAAAAATTGACACTTTTCCCTTTTTGGTCATTTTTCACGTCTTTTTTTGGGGGGGGGGTATTTATTTCTTTAAAATTAGCTCAACACTTGTTATGCCCACGTAGAAACCCATGTAACTTCTATAGTGGATTTTATTGAAAATCTGTGATCAAATGTACAAAAAGCTTTGGAAGTCCCCAAACTTTGACGGCCATTTTCTCTCTAATTTTACACCTGACGCAAGGCAACCCCTACCTCTTTCAATTGCAAATATGCGAGGCAGCGTGGTGGAATCAGGCTCTCGTCAAAATAATCAAAGAGAAGAAACTTGCATTTTTCCGCAGGTTTGTGAATTTTTATCAAATTTTTGTTTTTTGGCCTAACACCTTTCTTGCCCATTAAAAAACTCATTTCTGTGTGGGTTTTTCTTTAAAATGTTGATTAAAGGCACAAAAAATGTAAATTTTCAGTTACCGCGGACTCTAAAGTTA